CCCTGGCATTTACTAGTCGCTATAATCTGTCCTTAAAGAGAATTTCCAGGTGATTCTGATGTGGAGGTTCATGTACCAGACTGGGAGACAGTGGCTTTGGGAATTTACGTCTGGAAGCATCTTCAGCGATGCTGGCACTGTGCTTTGTGTGTACATGTGTTACTTTGTGACAGCCCATGGGGTGAGCTGCCAGCCTGTAATGAGCCTGTACACGATGTAGGAGATGCTACATACGTATTCTCGCTCAGTTCTCACAACAGCCCGGTGAGTTGGAGAGCATGCTTTCTTCTTTGTGTTTAATGGTTTGGAACATAAAGGGGCTAATAAATGTAACCGAGGTCACTGAGCTAGTTGGTCTCAGGGCCAGCATTCTACCAGGCTGCACCAAGTCAGGGGATCCTCCTGACCTGTGGGCCAGACAGGCTAAGCGCTTGGAAGCTCTTCAGGCCCCACTGAAATGATGTGAATGTAAAGTCAACAAGAATTAAGCATTGATTATATGCAATGAACCAGGGAAGGCAAATCTGGGCACATAAGAAGCATGTAAGGCCTCACCTCATGCCTCCTCCAAGAACTCTATTCTAATAGGGCTGGCCAGTTTGGCTATATTGGAGTTTGGCAAACTGGAAAGACAGGCTAAAATCATTTTGTGCAAGGCCATAAATAGCCACACATGAATTCTAATCTGGAAGGTCTGAAATTTAGCAGTCAGAACTGCCACACACAGTGCCTGGACATGCTCCTCCCATCACCCCTCTCTACTTGAGCTTTCAACTGATGGCTAGAGAAAAGATCTAGTGTGTATGGGGGTAATTTTCCAAGCAGAAATTGAGGGCTAGGGGTAAATGTTAATAAATACAGATTAGAGAGGTGTTCTATTAGGCCTCAAAGGGGAAAAAAAGACATAAAAACAAAACCACCAGCAAGAAACAGAAAGCTTACCAAATTTCCACCCTGAGATCCAAATGGTACAATGGATTTGTATTTCTAGCAGAATTCCTACTTTTCTTGGATGTACAGATCTTTCTAAATGCCTCCTTAGGTCCTTACATCGTTTTAAATTTCAGATGAAACATTCTTGACCCCTAGAATTGCCCCTACCATGCTTTCTAACTTGTAGACGCCCTGCAAACACAGGAAATCCTAAGTGAGTACTGGTGTCCGTCTCCCAGCGCTCTGCTCTCTTTCTTCAGAACCCCTTAATCTTCAGCACCCCCGCCCCGCCCCCACAGCAGTCTGAGCACAAATCCAAGACCTTTCAGGCACTCAGCTCCCCATATGTGTTTACAGTTCTTTGTTTTTTTTCTTGGGACTTACACTCAACTAGGAATATTACTGGTGCACCCTTCTGACTGGAGCACAGGGCCAGAAGCAGTGTCTTAAAAGAAAAATGGCTTGATATTACTAAAAGAAAACCTTTCCCTATTGAAACCTTTCAAATTATCTGAAAGAAAAAGTCATAGTAAAGTGTTTGGTTTCTCAGGTTTATTATGCCTTATACCACCTAACACATAAGTATCCCTTTATGAATGAAAATCGATTCAGAAGAAAACACAAAAATGTTTCTTACATTTACTCTGTCACTTATGAGGAAGGACACACACATTCAAGCTTTTACTTTCAAGGGAACGTTATCAAAATTCTTAAATACTTGAAGCATTTGCCCCTACATGGAAAGTCAAGGGAAAATAAAACAGTTCTAGCAGAACCCTACAAAATATACCTTTAAAAAATGCATCATGTTTTATTTATGTCACGGTTTAATACTTTGCATCTGAAAAAAAACTAAACAATCATATTATCGCTACAATGAACAAAAAGTTAAACTTAAGCACTTTTATAGAAGAGTTCTTCCTTCTGCAAAGGTTTTTGAAGAGACCTAAGACACCATGTTGTTTTCAGGTCTTTTTAAGAAACTGAGGTATTACAATCGCAGAACACAAATACACTGATAGTAAACATACCAGAATACAGGAAAGAAAAATCTGGAAACTGGTAGCTACAATGATCTTTAAAAGATGAAATTATGTTGAAAATAGTTATCCTCATTTGGAGGGGGGATTTATTGCTTTTCATTGAGCAAAAATGTTGCTTGTTTTGGATTACAGGTTAAAAAAATCTTTATCTGACTACACATTCCATGGTGAAGGTACTTCCTTTCCTACAAGCAATCTTGATCATTAAAGGGTTATTTCCAAACACCTTTGCTTATTAACCCCTCCTATCCAGTGCTGAAAAAACTAAAGACACAGAAAGCACACATTTTTAATTCAACATTTGGAAGTGAAGATGGGTTTTGTTAGTTAATGGCAATTGTTAATCCTCAAAATAAACAGGAAATTGTGCTACTTGGCAAGTTGCAGGTCCCAAACCAAATACTAATGGACTTTAGGAAATCCAAGATGCTTTCTCTCCTTGCATATAGGTCTCAACAATAGGGCTGTGCCAAGATGCTTATAAAAAGCCTAAATCTCCACGAGCTGAATGCTATTCAGATGGAGAGGGGGAGAGCTTTCCTCTTAGCCCTCCTGGAGCCAAGTTTCCAGGCCATCCCTGTTGTTACATTTCTCTTACAGTAACAACCATGATGGGCGTGGCACAAAGCAAGAGATTTCAGCACGGTGAGTCTTTCTGCTTTTGAGGAAAAAATGTATATAACTTTTACATTTCACAATGGGTTAATGCTTTTTCCTCCACAGTATATTGATAATTTAACCTGTGGAAAACAATTTTAGCCACTGCTAGATGGGAACTATGAGCAAGCCAAGGAGAAAGCAGCTTTAGGAAAATAAACTTAAAAAAAGGAACAGCCAGCCAGTTTCATCTGTAGAAAAAAATCTGTCCATGTTGCCCCTCCTCCTCTTTTTTTTGAAATTCCAAGACAAAAGGCATTTATTTAAATGTGGCAAACTCAGAAAATTCCTAGAAGGCATGTAGAGTTGACACATACTCAGCTGACGCCATCATTTCAGAGTCAGGGCCCGCCAAACCTACCGGAGAGAAACTCAGTATTCCTCAGTAAGATGGCATTTCACAGGCTCTTCTCTGATAATTCACTCGTTTCAAAGCTAAGGCAGATGGTGTAGTTTCTACACTGCAGGGCCCTCCCAATTTTAGGCTCTGGGCATAATAATGACAAAAGTCAAGATTTAGGGTTCAGTTCCAGCTGATTTTATTTCCTTCTCAAAAAAAGTTATTTACAGAAGGTATATATCAACAATCTGACAGGCAGTGAACTTGGCATGATTAGCTGGTATGATTTTTCTCTCTTTTTATCCCCCAAACATTGTTTTTTGTGGCCTTGAAGTTTAGGACAAATATTCTACACGGCATATTGCACAGGATGGATGGCAAAAAAAAAAAAAGCTTAAAAACAAAAACCCTTAACGGAACTGCCTTAAAAAGGCAGGCTCCTAGTGCCTGTCATGTTATATTAAACATACATACACACAATCTTTTTTGCTTATTATAATACAGACTTAAATGTACAAAGATGTTTTCCACTTTTTTTCAATCTTTAAACACAACAGCTATAAACCTGAACACATATGCTATCATCATGCCATAAGACTAAAACAATTATATTTAGCGACAAGTAGAAAAGGATTAAATAGTCAAATACAAGAATGAAAAACGCAGTACATAGTGTCGCGAACTCAAATCGGCATTTAGATAGATCCAGTGGTTTAAACGGCACGTTTTTGCTTATAAAAAAAGTGCAAAAAAGATGTGGTTTACGAGTTAAAGCTACAGGATCCCTTTTTGCTGTAAATGCACCAGTATTAAAGCCTCTCGACAGAACAGTATTTTGTCTAAAAAATTTTGTTTTTCTTGAAGGCATAGTGCGTGTGGCTAATTCTGCTCCCCTTTGTAGAAGACTGGGGTCGAGCGGGGGCACTGGTGGCGGGTTAAGGGATACTGTCACTTTAAGAAGCCTGCAGATTGAAGTGTAAACATGGAGAAATCAGGGGCTGATTTTTTAAACTGTGAGATATTAACCAGCCGCCCTATTATAAAATCAGGAAATCCAAACAGCGATTTACACCGATTAACACCCCCTTTATATATTTTTTACAAAAATACACTGAGAAAATAATCAAACGTTTTCATCTCTGTCTTTTTTTGTTTTTTTAAAAGTGTCAAAAGTCTACATTTAAATATAAAAAATTAAAAGTTAAAACTCTAGCCCTTCAGTGAAGGAGACGTAAAATGGCGTGGGTAAC